CCATCCATCCATCCATCCATCCATCCATCCATCCATCCATCCATTCATTCATTTCTTTTTTCCTTCCTTCATGTTTTTAACAATAATATCTAATAAATATTTTATTCTCTTATTTATTAATTGATTTAAATTCCTCTAAATTATTTGTTTATTTTTAAATTCATTTATAGATTTGTTTAACCATTTATTTTACTCATTTATTTATCCACAGTTTGTTCAATTAATCTATTCTCGCTAATTAATTAATCTATTTTCACTTTTCCCTCAATATTTCCCTTTTTCCATTTATCTATTCAGGTGTTCAATGTAAACGTAATATTAGAATAAGCGAATATTCTCAACCAAGAAAACGCGGGAGGACTGGGACTTAACGTAAGATCTTGTGGCCTCCCCATTGCAATGACTCAATCGGTGGCATGAAGAGTTAATGTACCTAACTCCAGTGTAATATAATTTCTACAATACAGCTGACATCACAATATCATAAAACAATACCAGCTGTACAATCTATAGAACGAGTCACAATAGATAAATCAAAGACCAGCATCGTACATATTACACTGGAGATAACCTAGTTTATGGAACTGCTTCAAGTTAGAGTTTTATGATAACAAACAAAATTCCAGGCAAAGACTCACCAATTTCTGTATCATCTTTAGCAACTCCAACTCTGTAAACATTTTCTCCGAAGCCAGCTTTTGCAATAGAAAAGTTCGAATGAGACCGAGATTTGATAATAAAAGAGTAGTTTTTCAAATGCCAGGAAGACGATCAATGTACCTCTTTCTTGAATTCTGAGCGCGAAGAAGACTTTTCAGCTGAAATTTATAAATCGCGGCGATCGATGTCCTTACTGAAATGTTCTTCAAACAGTGTAACGTATTACCAGCTTCTTTCTAGCAAGTTCAAAATTTGCTTTCTTAACATCTTCAACAACTGCTTTGTCAAGGATGTTAATTCAGAGATTGTTTTCAAGGTCTTTGCAACTTGAATTTCTCTCTGTAATTTGCATTTAAAGACAAAACTCAACTTTCCTTTTCAAATCTTGACATAAAAAGGGCGCGAATTTTTATTATTTTGTTTGGCTGAGAGACATAAACTATAAACAATATTAGCACGGTTAACACGGGAATTCAGCTAGACCCCTTACAGCACGTTGGAATGAAGCTTAAGTTGGAGGACAACAATCAGTTTCCAATGCTCAGGAGATTGAAATTATTTTGTTTTGTCCTCCAAATTGAGCTGCTTTGATGTCACATGCAAGGGGTCGAAAAAGTGCTGAAAATAATAGCCTTTCTAAAGCACTTTATTCATTATTGCCATACAGTCTTTCTTACATTTTTCTCGCATTCTGTAGTCACATTTTGCTTAAATATACACACGCCGCGCTCACCTCTACCCCTCCCCGCCCCAAAGAAAGAATTTTATAATTAAGGATCAGTCAAAAATGGTCAATAATTTAGTTACAACTAAAAACAGTTGATAATAAATTGAATTATGTAAGGCATTCAATACTGAATTAATGATCAAAACAGTTAATTCAGTTAACGTTTAAAAATCGTTTTGAAAGATATACTATGATGTTATCAAAATTCCACTTTTTGGATTCCCCTGAACAGACTGTTGGGGACGCTTGCGTTAATACATTCAAACTTTTCCAACAAAGCCGGATAACGTAACATAATATTCTTGAATAATTCAAGAGTATATTAGTATTAATATATAAATATTCGTCAAAAAATTAAATAAAAACAAAAGCCGTGTAAATACACATTTGGGAATGATATTTTACTTGTATATGTTATATATTTTATTTAGATTTAATTTGATTCGTAAAATATTTATTCAAAATGACAATTAAGTTCGACAAATTAGATCGGCAAAAGAAAACGTTTAGCAGAGCAAGGTTTCGATCCTTGGACCTCTGGGTTATGGGCCCAGCACGCTTCCACTGCGCCACTCTGCTTTGCATATCAAAACACTATTCAAAAAAACAATCTATTCCAGACAACAAATAAATACTGCTCAAAATGATTCCTAATAGAATTAATAAACGAATGATGAAAAAAGCTAGCGAGCACAAACATGCAAAAACTGGTTTATGCAGCTTGGGGCCTGATACCGTATAACAGTCATTCTCCGTTATAACGTCCAATCAGCTGGTTGTTTTCTTTGTCTGTTCGTCTCGTAAACGTATTTGTACATCAGTAGCCCTTGTTTGGATAAAATGTTCTCCCGTTTCAGAACACTTGTCATATATAAGTATTACATATTCATGTATCTTCTGTCACGTGTTGTCTTGGCTGGTTTCTTTTTCTTGCTCCGAGGGTTTTTCCAGCCCTTCGGTCTTTCCTTCCTCCTCTCAAATCAACCCTAAATAATTTACTGGATAGAGCTCCGGTTTCAAACATGGACTGAATAGCGGCTGTCAGAGGCGCCTTCACATGTTTTCTGTTCGACCGTTAAGTTGCGCCACTGCTGTACTTGAGGTGGTGATTAACTATGCCGACAAGTTTTTTTCTGATGTACAACCGTTAAAAAAAGAAGTAATTCCTCAATTGGAATGACACGTGGTCTGAAAATGAGAAGACGTTCTACAAATACGGATTACTATTTCTAAAGGGATCCGGAAGGTAGGCCTATTATCCAATTATTAGCGATCCATTTCTCGCCCTTGATGACGTCACATCCTTCATGCATTGAGTACTCGTCTACTTCTCCCAGTAAACCAGTGTCTTCATCGATAAAGTGATTGTACCACATGATAGCGTGACCTTTCCTTGGTGCAACCACTAGATTAGCCTTGTGACAGTTCAGACTTAAGTTCAAATAATCCTCTAATGAGGTAGAAGTTGTTTTAAGGAGGTTCTGAGGAAAAAGAATTTTTTAAATTTTATTCCAAAAAAATGGAAAAGTTGGTGATTTTTTCGAAAGCTCATTGAGGGGCGATGGGCCAATGAAAGTTTTTGAAGAGAAATCTTGGGGTTGCCGAAACACTTTGGGGACAATGGTCGCATGCTAGAAATTTAGTTCTAATTAGTTGATTATAATTTTAAAACCTCCAAAAAATGTTGAAGCTGCAAGTGTGGAGCGGGAAAAGGAAAGGGGTACAATTACCACTACGCTTGGCCAGCTATGGAAAAAATGTCACCTTACAGATATACATAATATTTTATATACAGCTATATCGAAAAAGGTTGGTGAAGGTTTTGTTGAATGTTGCATGCTGTATGTCGCTTTGTGATTAACGTCACCACGTACAGAAAAAATGATGCCAGTAAAACTGCAGACAAAGTTTGGGAAAATTCCATAGTGCACTTTGAGCTCGTTACACACCATGCAGCAAAAAGGTCACCAACCCTTTTTTAAAAGGTGTATATTCACCGTCGTGTTAAGTGTGGTGTTGTCTGCCACTACAAACGCAGTCTCTCCTCCTTGCTCTACATCGTTCAAGTAATACAAGATTGTGATGAACCGACACAGTCTACACCCTTGTGAATGCTGCTGGCGACAACATGGCCTGTTTCTATTCTGGTCATCGATTTGTGTACTGTCATAATGCACATGATAATGACCTATAGGACCATAATGTACTACCTGTGGAATAAAAACAAGTATAGGACTATGGTATAGACAAGTAAAAGACAAGAAAAGAATAGGGATAGAAATAAAATTTTTTACCATAACCTACAAATTTATCGTGCACTGATTTCTTAATAAGAGGACAGATAAAATTGACGTCAACGAGCGCGCGCTCTTTCCCTTGGTTGCTTTGATCACTAAGAATGAGTTTTTATCGTTTTCGTTATCTTTAAAAAACAAATAGACATCAGGTTTTGTGCTTATCTTATTATTGACGATACATTTCTTCATCGCATTGTCAAAGTAGTATCCACACTACTTTGACAATGTGATCACGCAATTTATCGTCAATAAGAGGACAGACACACAAACAACTGATGTCTATTTGTTAAATGGAATGGTGAATTGTCATTCGAATTGGCAATGGAATGATGCCTGTGCTTCTTTCGCGAAACCGTTTTTCGCGAAACAAAGAAATGGCATCCTAGAAAATGCTGAGAATGTCCCGTTGTCTGAAATGGGAAAACATTATGCGGCAGTAATACAAGATATAGACCCCTTTTATTGATTTCGCAGAGGAATTGTTCTGGTGTGGCTTACATCAGGCCTTCTTTTTTCTTATGCCAAAAAATCCATATTTTTGTTCCCCAGGCAATTTTTCTGGGAAAACAATGCAAGGGGTCTATATTTATGGAGGGCTCAAAGTTCAGGTTTCTCACCTGTAAATCCTCACTATTTTCAATTATTTCTCGTGGTAATTTGGTAAGTTTTACGACTCGTTCATTTAAGCTCAACATCACAGGATCGTGTTTTCCTGTGTCTTTTGTCATCCATGTTTGTTCACTGAAGCGCGCTCTGTATCTTGGATGTTTGTTTTTAGTAAATTCTAGATACTTTACAAACTTGGCAATGTTCAATGACTTCAACGATTCCCTTGTTATTTGTCCTGCAGAGTAGTTGAAATGATTGCTGCAATTAGTACTTTAAGTAAAAATGCACCAGGGGCATTTCCTTGGTTGCTTAATGGAGAGGTGAGGGAGAGAACGTTATTGCATATTAATACGCATCAGAGGGAGGGGAGGGGAGGCAATGCAGTAGAAGAATCATGTTCCTGCAATAATTCGTCCAGTAGGGTTATCATTTCAAACGACTTTTATTTATTTTTTCATTTTTAAAACATCTTCTTAACTTACCATTTTGGAATCCTTTGAAACCTATTTGATGAAACCTTTGACATAAAAAAGAAAACGTGAGATACTATAATTAACTATAGATTTTCTCATCGACGGATCATGAACGCGACAAAGCAGTCAAATCAATAATGTTTTTCCATTTCAGACCATGTGTCATTCTCATGAGAATGTGATACCGTTGTTTGAGTTGTATCCATATTCATGTGCCTTCCTTATGCGCAACTGTTAAATCGTTTAAGCAAAGGAATGGTACTCTAGAGATTGTGAAGTGGTCTGAAATGGGAAAACAATACACGCAATTTAAAGAGATCTATATTGATACCTGGAAATTAGGACTATGAACACACAAATAGATCTTTCGTTTGCCCAATTTGCGAAAAGCTGTAATTATAGGACTTAAAGGTACCAAAAGCTCCGTCTAGCGTGTACTTATGTAAAGTGTTTTAAGGCCCGAGTGCAAATTCAAGAGTAAAGGGCAGTCAGAGCTTAAACAGTTTGTTCAGTATTAGGTAGGTTATTCAGGGGCGTATAGACCCATTACATGTGACGTCAAAACAGCTCACATCAATTTGGAGGACAGAACAAAGGAATTTCAATATCCTGAAATTGGAAACCTATTTTTATATCTTCCGAATTGCGCTGCATTCCGACGTGCTCCTCTCCCTCAAAACACAAATGCACATTACAAATAAACTGTCAAGGGAAAAGGGGCTCACAAGAATCCCAGGACCGACCCTGCATACGTCCCTGTTTCTTACATGTCTTTTAATTCTTCTTCTCCAAAATGTAGAAGAGCATACTTAGCTGTAAAATATCCAATCTGCAAGAAACGAAAACAAGTCAAAAACAAACAAACAAACAAACAAACTGTTTCTGTGTTCTGCTCCAGTAACATCCATTGAGTGAATTATTAGCTATTTTACAACTAAATAGTTGATAACTAAATACTTTTAAGCGCGACATGGCCAGTAATTGTTTCACGGATACATAGCGTTCACTCTATAAGACCTGACTAGTAATTATCATGATTGGGAAACTCTCTATATAATATCTCCACCTCTTGTTTATCAATCAGGCCATCGCTGTTTCGATCCCAAACTGAGAAGGACGTCATGAAGGAAAATTGAGCAGGAACTGGTGCATTCTTGTCTAAAATTAAAAAAAAAAGGTGAAATTAGCAACTGAAAAACGAACAGGAATGGAATAATGGTATATAAGACTTTAAAACCATCTTTCCTTTCTGTTCCAAATGAGCACACTTTTTTGTCCACGCTTCCCGGTATCTGGCTTGTGACTTTAAAACAACTTTTTTTAATTAACTAGTTGCCTTTAGTGTTTCTGTTAGGCCAAAACTACACAAGCAACCCAAGTAAAATGGAAAGCGCAGAACCGTTAAATGATAGGCATATCTTACCAATGCTGGTAAGCTCTTGCTCCAGATCTCCATCATAAGCAGTTTGATCAAATCCAGCAACACTCGAAGTTAACCCAGACTTCCTTGCTAGTTTGATGATGTGTTCGCACTCTTCACTCGATAGAAAGTCAGGGATTTCTAAAAAAATGAGATAAGAAACATTATAAGATGTTTGTGTCTGATTATCTGATACCTGGTGCTGTAGTCAATAGTCGCAGGGGCCTGCACTGAGTTATGGAATTATGGAGTTACGGACTTCACCCCACAAGACACTCTAGATCGATTAAAGCGATGCCAAGCTGCACTAAGCAACTGCTCATTCACCACAGTGACAAAATTCCTCACATCTTCTAACAGCGCGAGTTTTTTCCATCGTACAAAACTCATCTTCTTCTTACCAAAGATGAGCGGTTTCATGGCTCTCGTTATCAGACTGTAGTTCCGGGAACTCCCAAGGTCCACCTCTTGCACGTGACCTGTCTTAAATAAATTAGTAAAATGTAGAGAGAGAAATGAGCAGAATATTTTTATCTCGGGAAAAAGCTATCCAAGAATTCTGTATAAAATTCGGACTGCGGGGGAAGGGGGGAGGAAAAGACTCAAATACACTCATATACACAGTATTTTCATCACATATCAAAAAAAATACAATTCTACTTGCTATTTCATTTATATTTTTGAATCTCGCTTGACAATCAACGTCGATCAAATCAAAAATACCTGTTAAAAGTATCACAGGTAAACAGGTACGAACGACAATACCTTTCCCCCAATTTTACGAATATTTCTCTTCCTTTGGTCTTCTTTTCTCTAAAACTAACATAATAGTAATAAAGACCGTGCTATGATATTATTTTGAAAGTTTGCTAACATTTTGTGCGATGTCTAGGCAATATTCTATCGTGAGCACCAAAAATGTTGCGGACGTAGATCCGCGTAGATAGAATTGAATATTCAAAAGATAATAACTGAAAAGAACAAAGGTGTAAAGACGAAAATGCACTCTACCTTGACTCCATTTAGTTTTACGAGTCGCTTGATGCCTAGATTATTTCTATTGTTTTCATTCTGGTTTTTACCAACGTTTCTTCGCAAATCGACTGGCTTATCAGACTCGAAGCAAGGCTTCTGAAATTCTTTAAAGTACTTGTCGGCAGGACCACGAGTAGCGCTTACATGAACTCGAACGACACTCGCTAAAACAAATAATACCCCATAAAAAAGCATACTTTCAAGCGGAGCTTCGTTTTAAAACTATTTTAGTTTTCTTTACATTTCTGTGAGTGTTAGTATGATTTATAAATAGATAGCAATTCAATGTCACTTGATAAACATAACATGTCGCTAAGATGCAACCGCTGACCAGTCATTTGGCAACATTGACCTATAATATGCAAGCATGTGGTTTACATATTATGGCTGCGATCCCGAGACACGTGTTGAGTGATCACTTGAGTGATGCTAAGGTTCACGTCACGTCATCTCCGCCATTTTGAAAGCGTTTTTGATCTTGCTTTTTTTATAAGGACCAGTATGTCGTCCATGTCTTCTTCATCTCTTTTTCTCCTTCTCCTTCTCCCTCTCCTTCTCCTTCTCCTTCTCCTTCTCCTTCTCCTTCTCTCTCCCCAACTAACACCAGAGTCCATCACGTCATCTCCGCCATTTTGAAAGCGTTTTTGATCTTGCTTTTTTTATAAGGACCAGTATGTCGTCCATGTCTTCTTCATCTCTTTTTCTCCT